CGTTGTAATTAAATTGAGACCTTAGAACTTATATCTCAAGGTGGGTGGCGCATTTACATTGTAGTTGTCTATGGACCCCAGTAACCACTTAACACCAGGTGGGCTGTGAGCCCGTCCACCCATCTAAGCAATAAGAAAAATAAATAAATATTGCAATTCCCTATGCAGCATAGTAAAAGTACATGCTGCTCCATCCAATAAGAATGGTAAAAAGAACAAGGTAATTTTAAATTCTACACTGAATTATTGAAATTTTAATAACATGAAGGATTTTATATTTTACAACTTATCTATGCAAGACGTTTCCAACTAAAGGCATAATATGTTTTCTATACCTATACATAAAGTTTATAATGCTTTATCCGCACTAATTACTTGGCTTGATTTTGTACTCCACAGAGCGATAATTAGATCCATACCCAGTGCTCCGTCAGACGTATTCCTTCTAGTTCAATTCATCTTTATACAATATGTACTGTCTTAATCATGTTTTTTTTTAGTTCATATATTTGGATTATAGCAAATTCTTTGTTTCTTGTGGATATCTTCTCAGTGCTGAAATTTCAATCGATCAAAATTTCAATAAAATATATTGTTATTGTGTAAAGAGTCAATCATAGAGATTTGGTCGAAAGAGCCAAATTCTGTAAGAAAAATCTTGTTAGTGACAAACACATTAGTGATAGGGATGACTTGTGAGCTTGCAAGGGGGAGTAATACGTTTCGCTTTAAAAAAAAATCGGGCAGCCGTTGTACTGTAAAAACTGGGACTTAGAACTCATGTCTCAAGGTGGGTGGTGGTATTTACGTTGTAGATGTCTTTGGGGTACGGTAATCACATAACACCAGGTTGGCCAACTTAGCAATAAATAAAAAATACAGACATGCTGAATGAGGAAAAATTGACACTACTACATTTTCTTGAAAGCAATCACTCGTTGGTTTTTATAAGTGGAAATGAAAACCAAAACAGTTCGCTCAAAACAGTACACATTAAGAATTTTGTTTTCACAAAACAACATCGCAGACACGCGAAAAACAAACAAGAATTAAAACTGTATTTTTAAAGAAACACTCGATAATAACGTACGCAAGAAACACTGAAAAATAAATTAAATTTTGTCCATTTTTTTTTTTGTGGTAACAAATACGGGCGATCGAGCTCACGGCCCAGCTTGGGTTAAGTGGTTACCGGAGTCCATAAACATCATAACGCAATGCAGGGAACATTGGGGACAAATTGTTTAAATCTCATCCGTATTCTTCAACATCTTTCCTGTCCTTCAAAGTGGAAAGTACGATAGCTTTTTGGCAGAAATGGGGGGGTTAAGAACTGTTGTCTACCTCCGGGATTTTAGCAGCATAGCTTCACACGGGCACACCGAACGACTTATCCTTTAAACCACGACATAAAATTTACAAACGAAATAAGAAAAGTTAACACAATCTTTTGATATATTTCCTAAAAAAAATTTGTAGTCTTTGATCTTTTAATGTCGTCGCGCCCACATAATACGTTGCACCTGTTATTTTTAAAATACACGATGATTGGTTTAAATGTGTGTGTTTTTATTTATTTATTTATAGGCTGCCTACATCACACACATACGTAAATGCGTTTAAAATAGACGTGTCAGTTTAATCTATATATATAGACGTTTGCCGTGATGTGATTTCCTGCATTCCCACCGAGAGGTATTATTATTAGATTACATTAGTTTAGAAAAGTCGAGCGAAATGAAGATCAGTTACTCTTATGAATTGTATTTTGAGTAATTACGTCACGTACTTTTTTTATTTATTAAATCGACAAACCGCAAAAACACATCTAATTTAATGCATCTCATAGTTTCTTTAAATCATGAAATATGTTTTTGATTAAAAAATGTTTTTTACTATTTCATTGTGCATTAACGGTGACAGATAAATAAAGCATTCGAAACAATAAAATAAAATCAAGAAGCATGACATTAAGCATTAAAAAGATTTTTAAATATACTTACCTACCTGCGCCGCGCAGGTTTCTTAGAAAATGTCATTTTAAGTTTTAACGAATAAGTAGCTTCATAATCAACTGGTTCTATTGAAAAATAAGCTTTATACAATCAATAAATACAACTCTTTTTCAAAAATACTCATCAATGGACCTGTAAATAAACAACAAGTCCTACCACCTTTGTTGTTTAATATCGTTGTCACGTTACATTTACTATTGTACTGTGTATTAAGTACTCTAAATATTAATAGACTTTATATAACGTATTAGGTATACAAGGACAGAAATTAAATTTCATAGTATGTATATCCATCCGGCTATGGAATGAGCTCCCCTCCACGGTGTTTCCCGAGCGCTATGACATGCCCTTCTTCAAACGAGGCTTGTGGAGAGTATTAACGGTAGGCAGCGGCTTGGCTCTGCCCCTGGCATTACTGAAGTCCATGAGCGACGGTAACCACACACCATCAGGTGGGCCGTCTGACTACAAAGGCAATAAATAAATAAAAAAACATTTTAATTCAAATGTATATCAATGAATTTGATTCGTTTTGATTTAATGGACTGAAGAAAGTGTTTAACGTCTTATACTTCAATGTCTCAATCTTGTTTCGAATCACCTTGGCCCAATGAGTCGCGATGGCTGCACGCTTGTCAGTCACAGTTATATTTATTTAATATGTACTCTTAATGTACCTACTGACGCGCTCTAAGCATAGTGTACTTAACAAATGTTCACGATTGACTTCCACGGTGAAGGAATAACATCGTGTAATAAAAATCAAACCCGCAAAATTAAAATTTGCGTAATTACTGGTGGTAGGACCTCTTGTGAGTCCGCATGGGTAGGTACCACCGCCCTGCCTATTTCTGCCGTGAAGCAGTAATGCGTTTCGGTTTGAAGGGTGGGGCAGCCGTTGTAACTATACTGAGAACTTAAAACTTATATCTCAAGGTGGGTGGCGCAATTACGTTGTAGATTTCTACGGGCTCCAGTAAGGATGTGAGCTTACCCAATTAGCAATAAAAAAAATATATTATTATTAACACATCCCAATAACATCTCTTCTTCTTCCTAGCATTTTCCCGGTCTAGTCAAGGTCAGCCAAGGTCCGTTTTCCTACTTAAACTCCTCTACTATACCCGGTCTTCAACATCCTTCTGGGCTCTCGGCATTCTCCTCCATATCCGCCTTTACCACGATCAACCGGCGTTTCTTGGGCCTACCGCGGAATCTTGGACCTGGTACGTAGAGGTTACATCCCAATAACCTCTGAAATAATTTAATGTTATCGTCGCTAGATAAAAATAGTATATCGGTTTTCGCGATCTTAGTCACAACGTGACAACGAAAACCGCAAAACATACAAGTAAATAATGAAATTACAAATTATAATAAACGAGATAATAAAGCTTAAAAGTAAATTAAAAAAAGGGATAAACTAATTTATTAAGATTAAAATATAAGTACTTTTACTATCACTAAACACGTCACACTCTTTTATCAAAACGAGTAGCTACATCCGTGGTGTGTCATTGAACTCGTGAATCAGGTCAGAAAAACCTTTTTTTTTTTTTGTAATAAGAGGTAGCAATTTAATTCAACGAAACACCTTGAATCATGTCTAAAGATTCGAAATCGGAGCCGCGCGTCGTTTCTTGGCAACTCCATCGTTGATTACGCGTATTTAATCGTCAAACATTAACCCACACAAGTATTTATGCAGATAAATTGTAATTAAATTACATATTGCACGAAAGCGCAAACACCGGTTTCCCGTTTACTAAAATTAACCTCGAATTAACGAACGGATAAAGGAACACACCTGTTAGTACAATAATATGCTACAGTCTGTTTTTGTTGACTATAAATGCAATTTACAAGACGGGTCATTTAAAATTATGTCATAGACAGACGACGTAAAACACAATATTACACAACCATATTTAAAAGCGTAGAAAAAATTAAAAAAAATATTGAAATAGTTAAAAAGGGAGAATAGATATAACAATGAATATCGCTTCTGATTTTAAACTACATATTTTATAGTCCCATGTCATCGCATCAACCTCAGCTGTATAATAATATGTTATGTCAATAATCCATCAATAATCATTATAACCTAGTATGTTACATGAATCTAAGTTAGTCTTTCTATGTTATTTAACCATGGTCCCTTTGCATTTTTTTACTGTGATGAAACACGCAAAAGTATGAAATGGGATTATGAGATAAAATGTAATAATATAATAATTTCTAACAATTAGGCGTATCTGCTAAACTTAATAGTTATCACAATAAGGATTTGTTTCAAAAAATATTCTAAAATATTTCTTTTTTTTTTTTCAAACAACCGAAGCAAGAATTCACAGCTGAAACATTCTGGCGACTCGCATGCTCTGAATTCAGATACAAAAATCTATTATGGATGTATAAACAAAAGACCTTTATAAATATGAATAATGTGAGCGTCGCGTCGGTCACCGCGGGGCTTACGTCAATGAGGGACATTGACTATCCGCTTAAAACGTTCTCTTAATTTATTACGAACGGATAATGTCTGTGAACGAAACAACATTCACACTAATTAATGATACAATCGGCGTCTCCGTATAGAATTGTACGGCAGTTACGAAATATTTTAAATCTATAATAAATTCTGATGATTTTTTTTTACCAATTTTTGAAGTAAAACTTTTTTAGGCGCTTTGAGAATAAAATTTAACTCGTGACAGATTCGTTACTGCTAGAGAGAAAAGATACAATTTAGGAAGAGCGAGAGTGAGATAATAGACAGCGTCTCGCGAATCAATCGACCGTGCAGAGAGGGAAAGGACAAATCGAGCCACGATCCTTTAGACCACGACGTCTTTAAATCGACTTTCTGTAATATGTTTGATTATTTTCTTTTCATTTAACTGTATCATCACTGTAAATGCAAGAATATTTAATAAATTAATCAATAAACTAAAATAAAACCTTCCGTAGAAGTCACATTAATATTTAATTGGTTCTTTTAACAAATTGCAGTTTAACATCCTTAGAGTCTTCTGAATGTAAGTCTGATTTGCGTTTAATCGGTGTCAGTTCCCCATTGCGAGCAGCTATAGCTTGAGCTCTTTGTGCTGCTGCAACTCTTGCTAGTTCCAAAGCGACAGTCAAGCGTCTTCCCAAATCTTTATCGATAAGATACATTAATTTAATTGTTCTTTCTAGGACAGGAGAGGTCACTGACACTAAGGTTGCAGCCAAGTTATCCACTAATCTTTGCTTTTGAGACTCTCTGACTAATACATGGTTGTAGAAGTACGAGTGAGGTTCAAAATCAACAGCGTGGCTCTGTAATATCAGTAACTTTTCTCTAGGTTTGCTCTCGTCAACGTATGGGATTGGTCCATTAAAGGAATTCGGATAATAGTTTGGAGCATTTTTCATGTTGTGATCTACGGGAGGTTTCCCGTCACGGCTGTAAAGCTTTGCGTATTTTGGTTTATTGATGTCTATTTTATTGTGGTTCCTCCCTAAGCGATAATTTTGGGTATCTCTATAAAACAGTCTACGTGTTTTAAACATGAAGTCTGGTGGTCCAGGAATACCGGGAACTAAATTACCAGGATTGAAGGCACTCAGCTCAACATCTCGGAAAACATTTTTGACGTTTCTGTTCAATACAAGTCGACCAATAGGTACAGTGATGTATGTACCATTTTTCCACAGCCTGGTTACATCAAACGGATCATAATCCACTTCCTTCACCCCTTCAAACGTCATTACGTCCATTTCTAATCTCCAAGATGGATAATTTTTATTTTCTATTGCATTGTATAAATCTCTGATATAGTAATCAGGATCGGCTAGTTGAATTGTTTCTGCCCTTGTAAGGTTGTCTAAGCCTTGTTCAGTTCTAAAATTAAATTTCACATAAAACTTTTCCCCTTTTCTATTATTCACTTCGTACGTGTGAATAGGGTGACCGTTCATTTTCCTATATCCATTAGGAATCCCGTATTCAGATTGAGTCCACATGAAAGCATGCAGAGTATTTGGACGTAATGTTATTATATCATAAAACAAAGTGAAGTCGAACAGATTCGTTTGCGGATTCCTTTTTAATCCGTGGGCTAAGGAGCTGAAGAAAAATGCGTCTCTATAAAAGTAAACAGGATTCTGTAGACAAAGTAAATCTAGGTTTCCTTCCTCAGTATAAAACTTGACGGCCATGCCTTTCATTTCGGGCTTAAGATCCGTACCGCCCAAATTTTCGACCGATGAAGAAAATCTGACTACAAGAGGTGTTTTTTTCCCTATGCCATTAAAAACATCAGCCTTTGTGTATTTGGAAACATCATTGGTTACCACAAAATAACCATAGGCACCAGTGCCTTTAGCGTGAACTATTCTTTCGGGTACTCTTTCACCATCGTTTATTGTTTGCAAATCTAAAAATACCTGGTTCGATATAATATCTGTGTTCTGGGCGGTATTTTCTCTAATCTCGACTGGTTCTCCAGATGTGGTTGTCCATAGTCCAATTGGTTCCTAAAAAAAACCTTTATTATCTATGTAAAACTTTAACGCGTTCGAATAAAAGGAATTAATATTTCAGTTTACCTGAAAAACATACTATTTATGTTAATGTCTTAATAATATTGATGGACATTTGTTCCAGAGTACGTACGTTTGCAAGTCCATTATCAGTCTGTTATTGTATTTAAGTAGACAATGATACATTTGGAAACTAAATTTGTAATAGATTGACGTCATAAAATACAGTATAAAATATCGAATCGAAGAAAATAAATACAGATTTATAAGCAAATGCACATACCGGATGTTCCAATTTAAAATCCAATAACTGTCGAGCCGCAGGTTGGACGGTGAAATTATCGAATTTGTACGATTTGACATTTTGTATCGATATTGCGAGCAGTATACCCCAAATCGGACTATTCATTCTGATCCACGTAACCAGAGTGATAATGAACAACTCTAGTAATTTTTATATAGAATCGATGCGTGCGATTAAGCCAATTAGTTTCAGGATATTCTTTGTTTTTTTTTTCTGATGCAGTAGTTAGCTAGGCCTAGTATTTTTTGCGTGCAAATTAAACATATGTTTTTAGGTTTAACTATACACATTAAATGTAAACTTTACTTATATACTAAGTTTAACAAAAAAATGATTGAATGGTAAGAAATTATCTATCTTCATTTGAGACACCTACATTTACAGGCTTTGTTTTACTTGTTAATGATGCTGTCATAATGCTGTATTAAGATTTAACTGTGTACCGTTCAATGGATTTAATGCACTTGAAGCATTACACAGCTAGAAGGAAAGAAAAATATTACTAAATGTCTTTTTAGTATTAGACTATGTTTTAATATTACTTCTATACAATTATACCTTAAAGGACAATGCCCAAAAGTGGGCCGACTTCATGACAAAACTATTTGTACTTGAAAAACTATGCCTTATTTTTTCATGTTGTTTAGTTTATGTATCAACATTTCTTTCACCCTGGCAATGTTTTACAAAAAAATAAATTACTTATTTGATAACATCCCAAAACTGAGTGTCATAGTTTTTAAATTCGCCAATAGACAAAGGGCAAATTAGCCCATACAGCCTTGTAGTAAATCTACATGCTGACAAACGAAAGAGTTTTTCATTATACTATCCAACGTTAACATACAATTAGTAACCTGCCACGGCAAATAAGAGCACATATACTATAGTGATGTATGTACCACTTAGACTAATACAACTTTGCAGGGTGACACCTTTAACGTCACTAAAATGCTCCCCGGGGGTTACGATATCAAGATCATGTGTTCAATGAAGACAATTATTGTGAGTCAATTTAAGCTGGTCGCTAGAGTAACTTTGCATACAATGAATAATCTATATTCATATCCATGTACATTACAATTTAATCACATGTAGATTACATTCTAAGGTATAAAGTTATGTAGGAAAAAGTATTATTTTAAGTCTCTTTAAAGCCTGGTAATGTTACGCAGGAATCGTGAAGCAAAAACTTTGTACCCCTTTTTACAAAAATTGCGCGGACGGAGGAGTATGAAATTTCCCATACTTATAGAGAATATAGAGAAGGAGTGCATAAGGCTAATTTTTAAAAAAAAATATGCATAAAAAATACATTAAACTTATAATTTCAATTAATTATAGTGGAATTTCGACTACTGCGGGACCGGAAGACAGTTAAGAATTGTACTAAGAATAGTCTATCGATATCCATAAACGGTGTGCTTATTTTTCTTTTACTCGATTAAAAATACAATACAGTTATAAATATTTATCACTTAACCCTATTAAAATGCTCTGACCAACTATTCCAAATATTTTTATTGACTGGTATAATTTTAGTGGTACAATATTGCTAAATCAAATGTGAGATCAACACTTTACCAAGTCCCGAACCGCTTGAGGCATTGACTGCCTCATTACATTTTCTAACATTATAATGTCGAAAATCGTTATGCAAATAGCTAGAAAACATGAATAAACGAAATATATATGTCGCAGGCAATTTGTATGATTCCGCCGTCTACAAACGGCGTCGTCATTATAAAAACGCTCGCCGTTATGTAAAATGCCGAAGGCAAAATGTATATTGCCGTGTCACTTTATAATATGCCACAACATAACATCGAAAATTCAAACGCCGTTTTCATAATGCCGCGGCAAATTGAAGTATTTAGTTCATTTTTGAAGTGAAACTTCCTTATCGGCGTTGGAAAAAAATTTACCGTCACATTTTTCGGTTACGCGTCACTTTTTTCCGTTACGCGCCATCTGTTTTGTATTCATGTCTATGATAATAAAATCCTTTTGTTTAAACTTTATCTAATTTAACTTTTTTGTATTCATGTCTATGATAATAAAATCCTTTTGTTTAAANTGCGGGGGCGCCCGGTACTCGACTGTCGGTCCGGTGGTGGGGCGGTGCAAGGTGGCTCCTGTGCGCCGCCCACGGTGTATCTCCCGAAATGACGTCCTTCGGGATTTTCCCGGAGATGAAATCCCGTCTTATCATCAGGACGGGTACCGGCGAAGGCAGACTTTCGGCGCGCACTGCGGTACCGTATGTCTGGTGTAGCCGGTGTGGTGAAGCTCGATGGGGTTTAGTCGGTAGTCGTTCTGCGGGGCAAGTGCTTCGCGCGCCTTTTTCAAGGCGTAGTCTCTTGCGAGGAATTCGGGGAGGTGGAGGACCTTCTCGTCCCCCTCTTCCTCTCAGGAGGCGCCGGAGTCTGACATAACCCGGTTCGTTACCCCCCCGGACCGGGTATCCGTAAATGGATTCCCCAGCGTTAAAAAAAAAAAAAAAAAAAAAGGTCTTGGTCTTGGCGAAATCTGTGATTATAGAAGTATAATAAATAGTTTTGACAACAGAACCATAATAAAGTTCAAACTTACAATTTCAATTAATTATAGTCGAATTTCGACTACTGCGGGACCACTAGTCTTCTTAATTAGGGTAGATTAACTAGAACAGCAATACGAATCCTCAAGATCCACTATTACAGTATATATTGTACATTATCGTGACGATTGGTTATCTCAGATACGGTAGCCTAAAGTAAATTCGTTTTGTACCACTCTTTTCCACCGCACGCAATGTAGCACGATTAAAAATAAATTGAGGCGCGCAATTTATTGTATTGATGGAAAACTGATGCCAATCGAGGTTTCACGAAACTTCAATTTACAAAAACTACAAATATTGGTCAATAGCTTAGTACATATTCTATATATTAATACGTGAAGCAAAAACTTTGTATCCCTTTTTACGAAAATTGCGCGGACGGAGGAGTATGAAATTTTCCACACTTATAGAGGATATAGAGAAGAAGTGCACAATGCTAATATTTTTTTTAAATAATGCATAAAAGATCATTAAATCAATAAAGAAAACATTACACAGACTACATACCATGTATTTGACGCACACACGCATGCATACTATTTATTGTCAAACTTTTGTTCTTGACGTCTGTTGTCAAATTGAGAATGGATTAAATATTGTTTGTCTTTGTTAATATTTTTTATAGTGTAATCTTGGCGAAATTTGTGATTAAAGAAGTATAAAATACAATCATAATAGTGTACAAACTTACAATCCCAATTAATTATAGTCGAATTTCGACTACTGCGGGCCTTCTAGTTATTACTATTTTCCGTTAACTTGAGCCCTAATTACCGCTTCTTGCTTCGCAAAACAGTATTTTTACGCCCTACCCTCCTTCGTAACACTTTAAAAAGTCGTTTATAAGTTTTTTTTTTTATTGCTTAGATGGGTGGACGAGCTCACAGCCCACCTGATGTTAAGAGGTTACTGGAGCCCATAGACATCTACAACGTAAATGCGCCACCCACCTCGAGATATAAGTTCTAAGGTCTCAGTATAGTTACAACGGCTACCCCACCCTTCAAACCGAAACGCATTACTGCTTCACGGCAGAAATAGGCAGGGTGGTGGTACCTACCCGTGCGGACTCACAAGAGGTCCTACCACCAGTAAAGCTTTAACTTTTAGCTCCTTTAGCTTTTTTTGTGTATGCTAGTTCATAGTAATATTATCACTTTTAATGATACCGCGACTGTCAGATAAAAAGAAAGCGACTTTGTACTATGAAGTAAAGGGCAAAGGTAAAATAATCAGATAAGTGATAACAATCTTCTCTAACAATCCGAACAGAAAATCTGGTGAAAACCCATTATAACACACTGCTACAAGGAGAATTCCCAAGACCAGTGATACAACATACACATTACATATTTAATTAATATAATTGCGAGCAACACGCTTAAAACGGAAATAATTGTTGTGAATTATAAAAGAACACTAAATTGTTGAACAATTGATTAACAAGCCCTAAATATTAAAGAACGGTTGATTAGAAAATTGACCAAGCCCTAAATATCAAAAAACGGTTGATTAAAAATCTGTTCTATTGGAAAGTTTTATGGCATGAGAGCATATTTTAATCCTATACGGATAGGTTCAGGCGAGTTAGACGAATATGATGGTTCTCAAATCCAAAAACCAAATTTTGTATGGAAATAGAATATCAGTAGGATATCAATAGGATATGGAAATAGAATAACAGGTATAAAGAATAAATTATGAAACGTAATTACTTGTGGGCATATTATCCACACGAGTGGACGTCACGCTTTGTCCTCGCCTTCCCGTTCGAAGAGTGTGCACCACTGGCCATTGTCCAACTCAATTGACACTTCAACCTCATATGGCATTGCTGAAGTCCATGGGCGACGGTAACCACTCACCATCAGGTGGGCCGTGTGCTCGTCTGCCTAAAAGGGCAATAAAAAAACCCATCACAACCGATATTTATGAGCTCCAGTTACCAATTAACATCAAACCATGAGCTCACTTACCTGCCCAAGCAGTAAAAAGGGATTTTGAGACTTCCAAATTAAATTAAAAATAAAGATGCGTTGGTAATTCTCAAAAAAGTTCCCTACATAGCTACTTATCTTTTCATTATTAATCTTACTAGAGGTCCCACAGTAGTCGAAATTCGACTATAATTTTGTACACTAATATGATTGTATTTTATACTTCTATAATCACAAATTTAGCCAAGGCTACACTATAAAAAAAATAAAATAAAGACAAACAATATTTAATCTATTCTCAATTTGACCGCAGACGTCAAAAACAAAAGTTTGACAATAAATAGTATGCATTAGTGTGTGCGTCAAATACATGGTATGTAGTGTGTGTAATGTTTTCTTTATTGATTTAATGTATCTTTTATGCATTATTTAAAAAAAATATTAGCATTGTGCACTTCTTCTCTATATTCTCTATAAGTGTGGAAAATTTCATACTCCTCCTTTCGCGCAATTTTCGTAAAAAGGGATACAAAGTTTTTGCTTCACGTATTAATATATAGATGACA